AAGAGGCTAATTTTGGGGGTGGAGGAGGCAAAGTGAGTCTGCAGCTCCTGTCATCCATGAAAGTGAGCTGTATTCACACCAGGCTGCCTCTGTCCATCCTGGCTTTGACGGACGCAATAACTAATTGACATTGAAATCCATTTGGTAATAGTTTATATGCGTGGCCAACTGAAAAGCCTGTTGGTGTAAAACAGCACTTTCTGTTTCTTGCTGTGCAGCAAGGAAGAAGACTCGAGTAGCATGTTTGTCCCCTTGCCTCACTGCAAACCGCAATCAGTAGAAAATGCCTTAAAAATGGCTTTGGCAGACCAAAAAACCAAAGACCAAGAACTACAAGAGCAACAAACCTTTGGATTCCAGATGTTATGAATCTTTTGTATCCAAGGGAAAGTAAAACAAATTAACCCACAAACAGATTAATTATGAGCGCTTTCCTCACAGCCTGAAATTTGACCTCCAGATGGGTCATGTCCAGGTCCATTTGTGAAAACACCCGTCTGTCCCTCAAAGACACAGTTTTGAGTTTTCACTTGCTGTGGATCCATTTACCTGTACCTCTCCATTTCCCAAGACTTGACTGGCAACCCTGGCTCGTTACATTGTGGTGCTACAGCATTACAGATCCATATTGAAATTGAATGAAGAAATAAATGCATGGATAGTTCATATGAGTACCTGAGTGACAGGTGTTGGTAAAAGTGAGCACATAGAAGCTCTTCTCCTCATGACAATCCAGCAAAAGGATGTTCAGCAGGGCTGACATTCATCCTTCCAGTGCTGGATGCAGCAAACGAAGCAAGTCTTCTCCTATATGAAGTGAGATCCAGTGGATTAAATGTGTTTTTCCCTCTCGGTTCCAGCGACCTGCCATCTCACCTGAGAGCTTCCTCTCTGCCTCCTGGCCACCCTGGTTTACCCCTGGTGCTCAGCAGGACTGCTCGGAGTATCTCAAGTACCTCCTAGATCGGTATGTGGCAAGCACTCCAATTTTGGAGCTCAGACATGGTGAGGCCCCAAGACTTAGCGTAATATGAAATGCTGACTCCCGTGGGAGAGGTGCACGTGGCTGAGATCTGAGAGGTTTGGTGTAAAAATGGGAAAACCAGTCTGGGGCTTCTTCGTAGAACTGTTTGTGCCCAGCTGGGGGTAAGAAATGAAGTCAGCTTGAAAATTTCTGAAATTGTACCCAGTTCAGTGGAAAAGTGTTTGCCTGACAAGCCTCCTCTTTAAAATGCTGGTTTTGCCTTTCTTTCTTTCACCTAAAAATCCCAAATCCCCAGTGTCCTGGTGATGCCCCTGGACGTGGGGTCAATGCACACTGACCATCTCTGCTTTCTGCAACACATCACTTGGCATCAGACCCGTGTGCACAGACCCGTTATCTATCACACGTTTACTGTGACGAGAGGAGAGCAGATACCATACACGTAGAAACTCGTTCTTTAGCTTTTATTGCTCTATGTTGCCAT